CTCATTGGTGCTGCTACAACACCGCCCTCTCTGTGGGAGGGACAAACGGAACCGAAACTACACCTTCAGGTCTAGCAATTGTGGGTAGCTCAAGTCCCGCCCCATGTGGAATAGCCAAAGCATGAAACCGCTGATTTCTGAGAATCTGCTCTGCAGCTCAGGAAGCGAGACTGACCCAGAACGCTGGTGGCGCTAAGAGCTCCATGAGGAGGGGTGAAACCAGAATTTCGACTTTCAGGGATAGGAAGAGGAGGGCTGGAATAATAAAAGCAATAATAACTATCATTATAATAATAATCTAAGTACTTCAGATTCATTGTACACTTTCATCTCCACAGCAACCAATTGAGGTGAGAATCAGATCTCCATTTTGGAGATTAAAAAACTGAGCCTCAAGAAAGAAGTTGCTTGTCTGTAATCACAGAAACACTAAGTGAAGCTTGGATTCAAAATCAAATTCTCCAATTCTAAAGCCTAAACTTTTAAATTCTTAGTTTACAGGACTGCCTTCCTCCTGAATTAAAAGACTCGAGATTTGGAATTTGAACACGCACACACACAAATTGGCAGAATATTATTATATTTATTCCTTCTGTGTTTGTTGTTGTGTGCCGGAGTCGAGTTTTGACTCAGGTGTGATGGTAGAATTGCCTCAGAGAGTTTTCTTGGCTGTAGTCTTTACCAAAACAGACCATCACCACGTCTTTCTCTCATGGAGCCACTGGGTGAGCACCAACTGCTGACCTTTCAGTTAGCAGTCAAGTGCTTAACAACTGCACCACCTAGGGCTCCTTTAGTTGCCACCTTCTTTGTATAGCCTACGGTCCCAGTCTCAGGATCTAAGTAATGGACCCTGAGGAGACCCCACTTTCAGTCCAGAGTTGAACTTACTACCTCTGAATCCATAGCTTTTGTCCCCACCTCCAGGCCATTCACATCTATGGTGGCTACCAATAATAGTCCTTGCTGGTCTCTGGCAGGGGAGTGTTTGTCTCTTTCTCATAGAAATATTGAATCAACTGCTCCACCCCAGCCTTCACTGCAGGCTTAAGTGTAGAGCTGATCAACAGTCCAGTAGGGCCCCCTGATAGCCCTGCCATGGTCATCAGAAGGTCATAACCCAGATCCATGGCCCCATCTTTGCCTCGTTCCTTAGCCTTGTCCAAGCAGTTCTGAGCAGCGTAGTATAAAGTCGTGCCCAAGTTGTAGTAGGTTCCCACTGTCGGCAACCAGCGGACTACACTGTGCACACTCTGCTCCTGCTCCTGCTCACAGTCCTCCGTGTGCAGGGAGCGTCGGGCTCTCTCTGTGCCTGGCTGCTCCCTGACCAGCAGTTGCAGAGCAGAGGCCAGAGCATCCGCTGACACGTCACTCTGTTTGCTTCTGCCTATCTGGAGCCCTCGGAGATGGTGGATGAGGAACTGTGTGGCTTTCATGCCTCCCAGGCGGTAGAGCTGATGTTCCACGGTCCAGCCATAAGTCTGGCAGCCAGCCTTCTCAAGGGCATTCCTCAGCGCCAGGCCTACCAGGAACTTGGGCAGAGGGGCCATGTGACTGAAGCCAGGCAGGGACTTGGGGAGCAGGGTCTGGCAGAATAAGGAATCTGGGGAGGGTGGCTGGGACTCCAGAGAGGGAAGGTGCATTGGGGCCTTTATCTTGGTTCCATGTGAAGTGGCATCTACAGGGTACAGCAGGAAGTAGCAAAGAAGCAGTGCAACTGACTTCATGATGCCTGGAACAGAGTACGCTGGAGTGGGAAGAAACACAAAAGACAAAACATTTCCCTAAGCACTGTGGTCTGAAAGGAGCCTAGGGACTTCTCATCCATCACCTATAAGCTTTTCTTCTTTAAGATCTAGGAAATGGGGCCCAATTACTCCCACCTTATTGTTAAGTGCCATTGAGTCAATTCCGACCCATAGCAACACTGTATAAGGTTTCTGAGGAGCAGCTGGTGAGCTTGAACCACCAACCTCGCAGTTCAAACGACTTTGCAGTCTGACACATTAGCCCACAGTACCACACCAGGACTCCTACCTAGCCTCCCCCATTTTCAGGTCACCAGGGACTTCCTCTGCTTTACTACCACTCACTTATAAACCCAAGCCAAATCCATTGCCATCAAGTTGATTCCGACTCACGGCAACCCCATGTGTTACAGAGCAGAACTTCGCTCCAGAAACTGTTCATGTAATTTTCATAGCAGCAGACTGCCAAGCTTTCTTTCACAGTGCTACTGGGTGGGTTTGAATTGACAAACTTTAGGATAATAGTCAAGTGCTAACCATTTGCACCACCCAGGGACCTCTACCCAGTTATTTGGGCCCCAGATTACCACATAGTCCAGTCACTGAGAAGTGAGACTGCTCTGTGGTGCTGTCCTTGCAGCACCCTGTATCTGGTTACAGAAAACCTATATAGTTTTCATATCCCTCAGCCTACAGAGCTGAAGCTGCAGGAAGCATGCACCAGACATGTTCCTGTGTGTTCATCAGACCAAGGCACATCGTTGACCCTGTGAACACTCTATGTAGGTATGTTCATAGGATCCAAGTAAAGGCCACGTGATTGAAGTCAGGCAGGGACTATGGGGGCAAGATCTGGCAAAACCAGGAGTCTTCAGAGGGTGGCTAGAACCCTAGAGACCAAGGAAGGAATAGCATGGTCTTTGATGGGTTCCATGTGAAATGGCAGTTACAGGTTGCAGCAGGAAACAGCAAAGGAGCAGGTTATGATGGGTGTCAACTGACGCCTAGCTGCATCAGACTATGCCAAAATGGACAACAACACTCAAATTGTTTCCCTAGAGCTATGGTCTGAAAAAGGAGCTCTGGTAGCATAGTGGTTATGAATCAGGCTATGAATTGCAAGGTCAGCAGTTCGAAACTACCAGCTGTTCTGCGGGAGAAAGATGAGGCTTTCTGCTCCCGTAAAGATTTACAGCCTCGGAAACCCTGTACAGGGTTGCTATGAGTCGGAAACTGACTCTACCCGCAAATAACAACAACAAATGGTCTGAAAGGAACCCGGGACTCAGAGGACATATTGCCTATCAACAGCCAGCTTTTGTTCCTTTTAGGGTGCCAAACTAAACTGTTCCTGTTCATCGGCTCTGACTCATGGAGACGCATGTGTGTCAGAGTAGAACTGTACTCCATAGGGTTTTCAATGGCTGATAGTTTGGAAGTACATCACCAGACCTTTCTTTCAAGGTACATTTTGGTACACCTGAACCTGCAACCTTTTAGTTCACAGCTGAGCATGTTAACTGTACCACTAAGGTTGCTTAAGTACTGTTGAGTCGGTTTTGACTCATAGTGACCTTGTATAGAGTTTTCAAGGAGTGGCTGGTGGGTTTGAACTTCTGATCATGTGGTTAGCAATCCAGTGCTTATCCTACAGTGCTATACTAGGACTGTGCTTTTAGGCTTGTTGTTGTTAAGTGCTGTTGAGTTGATTCCGACCCATAGTAATTCTGACCCAAGGAGCAGCTGGTGAGTTTGAACCACCAACCTTGCAGTTCAAATGACTGCAGTCTGACACATTAGCCCACAGCGCTACACCAGGCCAAGGAAATGGGACTCCATGGGTTTTCCTGGCTTCTGCTATTCCTGATCACCGAGATTTTGCTTTACATTCATGTAGTTACAGTAACCCAATTTACTATACAGTCTAGTTGATGAGGAGCAAGGCTGACCCACTCTGTCCCATTCTCATTCCAGAAGGACAGATGATTGCTTTCTTCCATTAGTAACAAATATGATCTCTGCAAACATTTGCCCAATTGTATTGACTGCTCAAATCTGGTCCCCTTGTCACACACAAAATACAATGGCATTTCCTATGTGTGCCTACCACATTACCTTTATAGTTCACAATAGGAACCAAGAAGACTCACAGTTAAGAGAGATCACAGATAATTGTAATTCAGATCTAAGGAAATATCTTTTTATTTCTCTGTTTGATTTAAAAATTAACATGAGCAAGCTACCACATCTGGTTGGGGAGTTAATAAGTATATTAAAAAGTTACTAATTTTTGAGAGGGAAAAATTACAATACTTTTCATGGCTGTTATTAATGTTGTTAGGTGCCATCGAGTTGGTTCTGACTCATAGTGACCCTGTATACAACAGACCAACAAATCACTGCCCGTTTCTGCACCTTCCTTGTTGCAGCCACTGTGTCAATCCATCTTGTTGAGGAGTTTCCTCTTTTTCACATTGTCGACTTTACCAAGCATGATGTTTGTTCTTCTCTAGGGACTGGTTTCTCCTGATAACATGCCCAAAGTACGTAAGATGAAGTATTGTAATCCTTGCTTCTAAGCAGAATCCTGGCTATATTCTTACAAAGACAGATTTATACATTCTTCTGGCAGCCCGATATTCAATACTCTTTGCCAACACCATAACACACAGGCATCAATTTTTCCTCAGTTTTCCTTATCCATTGTCCAACTTTCTTATGCTTAAGAAGAAATTGCTAATACCTTGGCTTGGATTATTGTTGTTGTTATGTACCGTGGAGTCATTTCTGACTCATAGCAACCCTGTACAAGGTTTCCGAAGCTGTAAATCTTTATGGGAGCAGAAAGCTTCATCTTTCTCCCGTGGAACAGCTGGTAGTTTCAAACTGCTGACCATGAGATTAACAGCCCGATTCGTAACCACTACGCTACCAGAGCTCCTTATGGCTTGGATAGATAGGTGCACCTTAATCCTCAAATTAACATTTTTGTTTGTACATAATAAAGACACATTATTTGATGATTTTTGAAAGGAAGAAAGAGAAACTGGTAGAAGAAGTAGGGGCTAGGATCTACTAAGAGTAGAGAAAAGCTAACAGGTGTCACATGTATCTTTTACCATTAGGATCAAATGAAGAGTATACATTGATTCTAAGTTGTTCTCAACATTTCTAACTACCTACTGTACCTGGTCCTATGCATAGGCCTATAAGAGACATAAAAAAGGATATTTGATGACAAGGAGTTCTTTCTTATGTAAAGTAAGTCTGGAAAACATTCTGTACCATCTCCATCAAAGCACGCTTCAGAAGGACTATAGAACGTACGAAAAAGTATACTTTATCTTTTATAAATATTGCAAAGTTCTTAATTTCAGGGCTTTTCATCAGTCGATTGCCTACTGCTTCCATATGCTTCCAAGCCTCATCCGTGCAACTCTGGGTGAAATTGATAGCAGAAGTTTTTAACTCTGTTATCAGTTCTGTGGCAGGGAGTTTCTCAGCAACTTCAACCACCAGCACTGCCGTATCATAAAGTATTCTCCCATGTTCATGGGTACATGCCTCAGGAAGGTCAGCTGAGCGCTGGTCCCGCCTAAGCTCCCCTAGTGATCCCTGCAGATGTTTCAGAAGGAGCTCAGCGTTGTCAATCCCTTCCTCTTCACTGAGCTTTTGAATCTCATGGATGAGGGTTTCAATGGTATCCTTTCCTTCCATGCTAAATTCCTGAAGCTGCAGAAGGTGGGCCTCAGTTGGGCAGCCAACCTCCCCCATGGCCACACTCAGAGCTACGTTGGACAGATACTCAGGCAGAGGGCCTAGAGAAAGGGCTTTATACAAGAGATCCTGGCAGATCTTGGCATCTAGGAGAGGAACCTGGCTGGACAACATGTTTGGTTGAGTCCTAGGATCTGGGGAAGATGGCTGGAAGGTCAAGGCATCATTCTGAACATTTCTTGGAAAGGCAGCCACTGGCGACAGCAAGACACAGCAGAGCAGCACAACGTGCATCATGGTGGGACAGCAGGAATAGTCTGCTGGAAAGAAGCAGTGTTCAGGTTTGGAAGTGGGGAAAGGTTTAGGAGAGATATCAAGATTGGTCCCAACAAGGAAGCATCTTATCCCTTGAAAACTTCAATTACCCTGGATATATATACCTTTATCTTCATTCTTAAGGGCTATGGAAGATCCTTACCTGTAAAAGAAGCCAGTCAAAGAAATGAAATGGTCCAAATACGTCCCTTGCTGGGGTGCTTCCCTAATTTGAATAGTTGTTCTCTGCATTTCACCTTCTTTTTATTACAGCCAAGTTGGCACCTTCTGAGAATAGTGAAGGTCATAACATTCACAAATATTTATCCATCTCTTCCTGTCCTAGACTTTGTCCTCTGTTTCTGTGCCCCATGCTGACAAACAGGTTTTCTCCCTTTGTGGCTCTTGCTTATCCTGGCCCATATCCCTGTTACCTTAAGGATTTACTGTAGGCCTCAACTTAGATCAGGAATAGTTCCTCTGTATCTTCTGGGGGAGGGTTTAGTGGGAAGGCAGGAAAACCAATGATTTCTGCTTCCCAAAAGAAAACCAAATGAAACTTGTTGCCATCGAGTCTATTCCAATTCATAATAACACTGTGTGTTGCACAGTAGAACTGTTCTGTAGAATTTGTCTTGGCTATAATATTTATAGAAGTCCTATTATGGAGCTGTGGGTTAATGCGCTGGACTGCAAAGTCGGTTTGAACCTCAAAGTTGACGGTTCAAGCTCACCAGCTGCTCCTTGGGAATCCTATAAAGGGTCGCTATGGGTTAGAACTGACCAATGGCATTTAACAACAACAACATAATATTTATGGAAGCAGATTGCCTGGACTTTTTTCTGCAGTTCCTCTAGGTGGATTTGAACTTCCAACCTTAGGTTAGTTGTTGTTGTTGTTGTCAGGTGCCATTGAGTAGGAACCGACTCATAGCCACCCCATGCACAGCAGAACGAAACAATGTCCGATCCTGGGCCAACCTCACTACCACTGCCACACTTGAGTCCATCAATGATGCCACCTGGCTGATCCATCTCATTGGGGGTCTTCCTCTTTTTCTCTGACCCTCCACCTTACCCAGCATGACATCTTTCTCCAGCGACTGTTTCTTCCTGACAATATGTCCAAAGTATGAGAGACGAAGCTTATCCATCCTGGCCTCCAAGGAGCATTCTGGCTGCACTTCTTCCAAAACCGATCTATTGGTTCTTTTGGCAGTCCATGGCACTTTCAGTATTCTCCTCCAACACCACAACTCAAAGGCATCAATTCTTCTATGATCTTCCTTATTCACTGTCCAGCTTTCGCATCCATATGAGGCTATTGAAAACACAATGGCCTGGGTCAGGCGCACCTTAGTCCTCAAGCTGACATCTCTGCTCTTCAATACTTTAAAAAGTTCCTGTGCAGCAGATTTGCCCAGTGCAATACATCATCTGATCTCTTGACTGCTGCTTCCATGAGTGTTGATAGTTGATCCAAGAAGAATGAAGTCCTTGACAACTTCAATCTTTTCTCCATTGATAAGAATGTTGTTTATTGGTCCAGTGGTGAGGATTTTTGTTTTCTTGACATTGAGATGTAATCCATATCGAAAGCTGTGCTCTTTGATCTTCATAAGTAAATGTTTCAAGTCCTCTTCACTTTCAGCGATCAAGGTTGTATCATCTGCATATCGCAGGTTGTTAATGAGTCTTCCTCCAATCCTGATGTCACATTTTTCTTCATATTACCCAGCTTCTTATATTATTTGCTCAGCATACAGGTTGAATAAGTATGGGGAAAGAATACAACCCTGTCTCACACCTTTCCCAATTTTAAAACATTCAGTGTTCCTATGTTCTGTTCGAACAACTGCTTCTTGGTCTAGGTACAGATTTCTTAGAAGTACAATTAAGTGTTCTAGAATACTCATACTTCTCAATGTTGTCCATAGCTTGTCATGATCCACACAATCGAAAGCCTTTGCGTAGTCAATAAAGCACAGGTAAACAGGTAAACAACACAGGTAAAGTAGTAGACAAGTACAAACTACTTATACCACCCATGGAATTCTGGGTTATGGTTATTGTTGTTAAGCGATGCGTCAAGTCAGTTCTGACTCATAGGGACCCTGTATAGTGTTTCCAAGGAGTGGTTGGTGGGTTTAAACCACCAACTTTGTGGTTAGTAGTTCAGTGCTTATCTTACAGTGCCACAACAGTACTCCAATTTCTGGGTTGTTGTGTTGTGAAGTGCTGTCAAGTTGATTCTGACCCATAGCAACCCAGTATAGGGTTTCCAAGGAGCAGCTGGTGAGCTTGATTCACCGACCTCGCAGTTCAAATGACTGTAGTCTGACGTATTAGCCCACAGCGCCACACCAGGACTCCAATTTCTGGGTAGGAGACCCCAAAATAATTCTTATTTAATGGACATTTCAAGTGGAGGATTGATTGGGAGACTAGATCCTATTGGCAAGTTAGACAAAATCTCAGTAGATGAGTCCATTTTTAATTCCAATGCATTCATTTACCATGAGAGTACCTCTTTCTAAACTTACAGAGAAACTACAGGAACTTGTTTTCATTTCTTATCTAAGAGTAACTGCAGTCTCGAAAATAGAGGGAAAGACAGTAACTAGTGACTTAAAAAATTGGTACAAATATCCACACATAATTTCCTCTTTATGACATGACCAAAGGGAATAGGCTAATGAGAAAGGCCCCAAGTTCTGCTTTCTATATCCCTTACACCTCCTAGTTCCCAGTAGGGGCCCCTAACAACCAAGAATCCAGAAAAATATCCTTCCTAGAACAAGAAAAATAAGTTTTCAGGGAGGTACTGTCACACTTCTAAAGTTGGAGGAGGGAAGAATTGGATGTAGAGAGGTCCAACATTGTTGCCTGAAATTCCTAAGTCCTAGGGGAAGTCTTGATTGCATATTTGATCAGTTTCAAATTGAAGAAATTTCTAGAATTCTTCTATTTCATCCTCACTGGCTTTAGTGGTTGGTGTGTAAATTTGAATAATAGTCGTATTTACTGGCCTTCTCTGTTGTTGTTGTTGTGAAGTGCCTTCGAGTCAGTCCCGACCCATAGCGACCCTGTACAGGGTTTCCGAGGGTGTAAATCCTTACGGGAGTAGAAA